TGTGATGCCACGGCACTCTACCCAGGGGGGGACAGCTTGAGGCTCTGTCTCAAAAAAAAAAAAAAAAAAAAGATTTTGCGATCTTTATACTTTGAAAGATGCTCCAGTACATACTCAGAAGAACTCAGGACTGACATACGGAAAACTTGAGCTTCTGTGTGTGGATCTATAATAACCTTTTCCACCCTTAGATGATGCACGATTAGGGGTAAGTAGAGTGGCCACTGCACTCTTAAGTTTTAATGAAATGAGCATTGATTACATTGATGCTGACAGTTTTGTACTAGCCTGGCACCTCTGACCCCAACCTGCTCTTCTGGGTACATGCAGCCACTCCAAACAAAAGCAGATAGTTATTGCTCCTTCTAGCTTGAAAGGTGTGAAATAAAACATATAATAGATTTAAAAGTAGTAGTAAGCTTTTTCCTCTCCCAGGATCTAATTTAGACATTAAGTTCACTAGGTAATACTGAGGAGCAATGAAATGGCCAAAGAAAAAGAAGTAATATGCTGATATGAGCACAGCCGTAATTCTTCCACCTTTACATGCATAATCCTTCCGCCCCAAGAAAAGCCTTTCTTAAATTCCTTACATGCAACCATATGACACATACCATAGCTGGACTGCCTCTGTTCTAATCCTGGCACCCCCACCTTCTCTCTGATGACTTTGAACAAATTAATTGTCTTCTCCATGTCTGTTTCTTCATCTGCAAAATGAACATGACAACATTATGCTGGTGATTCAGTCAGTTTATGGAAAGCACAAGGCAGCTGAAACATAATCTGTGCCTATGTAAATAGTGGGTAATAGTACTATTATCTTTCTAAAGCTTAATTTACTGGTGTATCTGGAGTCATTGAATGAGTCCCACTTCTACAGTAAAAAGTTGAATTTTCCTGGCTCCTCTAACTTCAAATTTCATTTCGTGAAAACAAAAATAATGGTTTTTGAAACATTCCACCTGTGCCTGGAAAATCCATTAAATCCTCTGAAGTGATTTGCATCTGCTATTATTAGCATAAAAGAAATTATGCAATGAGGATAGAATGGAAGAGTATTTTTCATTCAGACACAACAGTGACGTTAATTCATGGCCATCTTATTTGTATTCTTGAGCAAGTTATTATAAACATGAACATTTCAGACATTAGTCTCTTAAAAAATAACTTGACAGATTATTCCAGGAAGGATAACTGCATCATATCCTATGCAGACAGTGATGAAAAGGGGAAGAAAAGGATTCACAAGTATTGTGTAATTTAAGACCTTAAACACATTACTAACCCTTTTTCCATAAGGAAGCTGTCGTTCTCAATGACGTTATGAGATGGAGGGTGCAGGTAGGGCGAAGCCTTTGGTATTTCATTAACCTTCTGTTATATTTTGATGCTTCCTTTTCTTAAAATATCAGTGCCAGGGCTCATTTTTTATTAGCTGATTATCTTAGTGTCATTTAATGATAAAGTCCCTAGTTACTAAGGTTTATAGGACAGTTTATAGCCTCCAGCCTAAATGACTCCAGATGGTTTTGATTTACATGGCTCTTTTTTTTTCCTTGCGTGGTTTTTCCGTCTTCTGTTGATTTGTGAGCTATCACTTGCCATCATGGTCCTCTCCACCTCCAGTGGCATTTCTGATTTACTGCCTCTGCTGAGAAGCTGGGTAATCATGCTTATTTAGAAGTGTGTTTTTAAGAAAAGTTCGGAGTAAAGACTTCAGTCTCTTTCCTTTTGTGCTCTAGTGCCTTGCTACAAAGATGGGTCTACAGACCAGCAACATTGGTGTTACCTTTGTTAGAAATACAAAATCTTGAGCCTCCCTCCCAGACCTACTCATTCAGAATCTACTTATTAACAGGATTGCTGGGTGATTTGTGTGCACCTTAAAATTTGAGAAGCCCCACTTCTGCTCATCACCTTTGTGAACAGTTAATTTTCCTACTAAGAGGAACTTTTTTAAAAGGCAAAAGATTTATACAACCTGAAGAGAAATGAGAGAAGAGATACTTTAGCTTACAAATTGCATCTTGCGGCTTGGCACCTGTAGTTCAGTGGTTAGGACACTGGCCACATATGCCAGGTGGGTGGGTTCAAACCCAACCCAAGCCTGCTGAACAACAATGACAACTACAACAAAAAAAATAGCTGAGCATTGTGGCTGGCACCTGTAGTCCCAGCTACTTAGGAGGTTGAGGCAAGAGAATTGCTTAAGCCCAAGAGTTTGAGGTTGCTGTGAGCTGTGACACCACAGCACTCTACCGAGGGTGACATAGTGAGACTCTGTCTCAAAAAAAAAAAAAACCAAATTGCATCTTGCATATAATGTGCCCAAATATTTAACCTCTAGAAATGCAAGAGATTATTATGACATCTAGAAGTGTTTTAATGTTTAATAATAAGTACTTGACAAATATTTTATTTTCTTCTCTAGGATATTCCTGGTGATCTTGGAAGAGTCCGTATCATGGAATCGATCTCTATGATGGGAAGCCCTAAAAGCCTTAGTGAAACTTTTTTGCCTAATGGCATAAATGGTATCAAAGATGCAAGGAAGGTTACTGTAGGTGTCATTGGAAGTGGGGATTTTGCAAAATCCTTAACCATTCGACTTATTAGATGTGGATATCACGTGGTCATTGGAAGTAGAAATCCTAAATTTGCTTCTGAATTTTTTCCTCATGTGGTAGATGTCACCCACCATGAAGATGCTCTAACAAAAACGAATATAATATTTATTGCTATCCATAGAGAACACTACACCTCCCTATGGGACCTGAGACATCTGCTTGTGGGTAAAATCCTGATTGACGTAAGCAATAACATGAAGGTAAACCAATACCCAGAATCCAATGCTGAATATTTGGCTTCATTATTCCCAGATTCTTTGATTGTCAAAGGATTTAATGTTGTCTCAGCTTGGGCACTTCAGTTAGGACCTAAAGATGCCAGCCGGCAGGTATGTATTTTTTAATTTTATTCTTATTTATCTGGCATTTTGCAGTTAAACAACCAAACAAATAACAGATATTTAAAAACCAAATTCTGACATCCTCCAATGATTATCATTTTGAAGATTTCCAAAATAATGTGGAACGCTGGAGGAATGACATGAACTTCTCTGTTATAACCAGTTAATTTAAAGAAAAGGCAAAGTTGGCTGATGAACAATGTGACACGTTGCATTGAGTCTCTCCTGGTCTCCTCAAAAAAAAAGGAACAATAACAAACAAGTCATTTATTTTCCCTTTCTTCTTCCCATCTTTCCTCCCTTGCAGCTATTGGTAATGCAGTATTCCATCTCTGAATGAAATACTGTCTAATACATGTATGATCCTCAAGAAGAATCTATTAGGCATAAATTAAACAGTCATAGAATTTAAAGCCATACAGTTTGTTTTAAGTGTAGATCTTAATCTCTGTGTGGAAAGTAGCTGCAGACTGGATATTTTAGGTTCTCCTTTCACAAATAAGTTTATGGATAATACCTTAGTTAAACTGGAGAAAAAAGCAGATGGGGAGTTCTATCAGTGCCTTTGTGGAATGAGAGTTTTTATTAGTGAACACATAAAACAGAGCACCTTAAAAATCTTTGGAAGGTGTGCTTCTGCATTATAATTAAGCACGAAGGAAAAATACTTGTGTTATTTGTCAATAAAGACAGTTATTAAGGCTGAGTGCTGAGACTCATAACACTCGTAGAGACCAATGCAGGAGGCTCACTTAAGCCCAGGAGTTTGAAGTTGCAGTGAACTCTGATTGCCATTCTGCTCTGGGCAACAGAGCAAGACCCTGTCTCTAAAAGAATAAAAAAGAAATAAATAAAGACAAGTGATTAGATTCATTAGAAAATATTTGGTGTCATTATTCCCAGATTCCTTGATTATCAAAGGATTTAATGTTGTAGAAAATAAATTTAAGTATTGTATCATTGGAGGCTGTAAGTCATGAAAACCATTCACTTTCAAGTCGCTAAAGATGAGTAAAAGAACATATAATTTCCTACAGACCATGTCTGCATTTTTTTTTTTTTTTGCTTATCCACCAAAGTTTAGCAATGGATATAGACCAAACAAATTAGATCCAGGACTTATGAGACAAACTTGAATTTAATCTCTTGCCCACATTTGTGAGGATTTTAATTTTTTAATAGAAAAAAATTTAAATTCAAAATCAAGTTCATAAATACTTTAATTTTTTTTTTTTTTTTTTTTTT